GGAAGAGCTGCCAACAAGCTCAGGGCACCAGCTGTGCTTGCCTGTCCTTCCAGGTGACCCCAGGTAACTCCCCTCTTGGCAGCCCAACTGCAAAGGGGCATTTGCAGGGGGCTGGTAGCAGTCATGCAAAGAGTAGCATAGTTGCCTGGCAAGTTGGAGAGCTCTGGTTTGAGACCTCCTAAGGTCCTTTGCACTCCTGGGATTTGGGAAGGACAGTAGGATTGGATGACAACCCTGGTCACTCGCTCACCGCTACAAAGCCAAAAGACGCAGGACAAAGGCCTATAGCAGTGACAAACAGTGGGCAGGATTTGCACAGCAAAGCAGCATCCGCCTTATCAAAGTTATTCCCTAAACAGAGCTGCCCATTAATAAAAACACAGAGGGAATAATAGCACGGCTACTGATATCTCCTTCTGTCGCAGACTCCTGACAGAGGATCTCCAGGGAAGCTGATTTCAGTGGAAATATCACACAAACCTGCCTGAGGAAAAGAAAGGTGACAAGTGCCTGCTCCTGCTAGTAAGCGCATCTACACGTGCATTAATGCACTTTAGTTAATGCGCATTAAATCTAGAGAGGTATTAGGAAAATGTGCACTAGCCTGGCTTAATATGCGTTTACTAAAGCAAACATTTTAAAAGTGAGGCTTAATGCGCATTAGCCCATTTTCATGTGCATTCAGTAAAAAGCATGGGTTTTTATGTGTCAGGTATCCAGGTTGTAGCCGTATTGGTCTAGAGGAAAAGGCAATCAGGACTCGTGGTAGAGATGACCTCTTTTATTAGACCAACCAGATTTTTGCCAAAAAAAAAAAAAATGCAGATAAAAATAAAAGAGATCTTCTCTATTACAAGTCCTGATTGGTTTTTTTATGTGACACTTTAATGCACACTGAAATAGGCTAATGCACATTAAAGTGCACATATAGACATGAAACCAACAGGGTTTGATCTGATTTCCAAAGAGAGAAGAACTGGGTCTTTGATGAGTACAGAAACAAATGGCTTTAATGATGGGAACCATTAACCTTTTGGAGCAAGGGCTTCCAACTACTCGGTCCTGTGCCTCGCATGTGATTGGGCTGCCATCTGGTTGTAGTAAAACATGATTCATAGCAATTATGCACAGCTTCTTCTTTAACAATGAACATTTCCTGAGCTTGAAAGCCTCTCTCTGGTACTTAGCTGAGCATCTCGGACTCCACTAAATCCTCTCTCACAGACCCCGGAGGAAGTCAGAACTCAATCTCATTTGCAGAGGAGGAAACTAAAGCCTAGAGGATGGTAAGCGATTGGTCCCCAGCTCCACAGGAAGTCGGCAGCAGGGGCAGGAACCAAATGCAGCTTCTCCTGACCGTACTGCTGTAACAACCACAGCATCCTTCCCCTTTCTAGCACAGTGTTTTCCAAACGCCATAAAACGAGGCCTCTGCAAAACACTCAAGGGACTGCTGCGTGGAGCTGAGCAGCGACTGCATAACAGCGACTGCTCTGCCTCCCTCTGCAAGCTTGTGGTACTTGGATGCTTGCCCCATATCACCAAAAGCCCTGGTGCATCCTGCATCAAGCACTCTGTACTTGTAAGGGCCCAGGTAATGCTGTTTAAAACAGCCTTGGCCACGGGCTTTGTATAGAGATGACTAGAGACGACAAAGCTGCTACCCAGGAGAACTCCACGAGCCGTTCCCATTAAAATCACCGGGCACGTCTGTATAGATCTGCCCCATGTAAATGCAGCAGAATCTGGCCCTGTCTATTATACAGATGCGCCTTCCTTTTGCACAGATGGGCACACCCAGGCTGGTGTGTCCAAGGGGCACCTAGAGCCCCTGGGCTTGCACAAGGGTCTGCACCAAAGAGAGACTGTAAAGCTAGTTCTTCCTAAGGACCCTCTCCGATGGAGGGGAACCTGCTGCCAGGCGGATTCAAGTAAAACCTTCGGTCATTTGGGGAGGGCAGCCAGGCAGGGAGGCTTCCTATTGCTGCTTCACCGAGCCGAGTGCTGGAACTGGCACTTTTTAAGGTGTAACTGGAATAAAGCCATTCGCCTCTTGTCCAGGTCGCCCTCATCACCCGCATCCAGCAGCCGTGAGTGCGTAGGGCATGCAGCCTGGGGGGCTCGTGCCCCAGCAGTGTGCGGTCCATGGGGCGTGTGGTCCCCAGCCGCTTTGATACTGGACTGCCCCAACGGCAACCGGCTTCCAGGTACAAAAGGACCTCCTGTCTCTATTGTCTCTATCCCAGCAGAGCAGAGGCAAGTGGCAAGCAAACGGATTCCTAGAAAGCCTCAACTTGCAACCCTCAAGGTTAACACTGAAAAAGCATTTAGATGCACCCTTAGTGACCTGCCAAAAGTGACGTTTCCTGAGTCTTAACCCAAAGCTGCTCTTGCACAAAACTGACTTTCTTCTCCCATCGAATCACCATAAGCCTGCATCTAAGTTACTTCCTTTGGCCAACCTTACCACATCTGAGGCTCCTGCATTTATATATGCTAAAAAAAACCCCAAACAAAGCAAAAACGTCAGGATGTCTGATAGCTCGTATTATTGTGGCATTTAAAGAAAAAAGAAAGTCTGATGCAAAGCCCATTGAAAGCAACGGGAAGCTTTCAATCGTTTGACTGGTGACGACTGATTTTGGGTTAGGGCTTTGGACACAGAAAGGGTGCAACGCAGAGAGAGGGTGTGCAGCACACGTTGTGCTTTCTCCCTTGCTTTTCAAGTATGGAGCTAACAGTGACAGTGGTTTCTCCAAGGATTCAAAGGCATTACCCCCTGCTACTGTCACCAAACAAGCACAGCTGGGGCTATTATTCAGGTAAATATATGTTAAAAAGGAGGCTGTCCTCACTGATGTAAGAAATGTTCTGCAAATATTGCTGGTCCGGCAGTGAAGAATGAAATCCCTTGTTGCTAAACGGCTGCTATTTTAGGGTCTGCTTTGCCTGTCATTGAAATCAACAGGAAGTTTCAGACGGATGTCACCGGGAGCTGAATGAGGACTTCCAGGGCCAAATTGTGACTCTGAAAACCCATTGGCTTGGCTCAGATTTCCATCCCTGCTTCCCACGAGCTGGCTCCATCTCCAGCTGCAACAGGGTGGGGACAACCCAAGGTCTGACTCATTGCAGCAGGGTTTGGTACTGAACAAGAAGGCGCAGCGGGACATGCAGGGGATGGGCAAACAAATGACAGGGAGCTAAATGGGACTTGCTGCACATCAGCTCCTCCATGGTAGCCACCCCGATGTATGATCTTATCCCACGATAAGTGAACGTTGCACTAGCTTAGCCCACAGCTCAGCTTCCACTTACCACGGGGTGGGTAGGAGCAGGCACACGGGCAGCTATCGCAGGATGGCTGAGATGGAGGAAGCTCCCATCCCTTTTAACCTGCTATGACCAGTTCATTTGTCCGTGGTGGTACCCAGCCCCTCCAGTCAGAGGCCTGCCTGACTTTTACTAACTGCTATAAGAAATGGGAATATTAACGATGCCCTTCTATTAACTGGGGACAGAGGCAGATTCTGTTTCTGCATCAAACCAACATCTCTGCTGTGATAATTACAGGCCAATTCTGGAACAAGAGCTGCCCAGGGTCCTTTTTTAAAAGAAGAACATAAAAGCTCGATGGTGAATACAGCTCTTAGCCCCAGACTGTCAGACACGTGCAAGGGAAGCAATAAGTATGAAGCCTTTCCCCCTGAGCACTTCAAAGAGGAGGATTTTTATTTTTACTATTAAAAGATGGTGAGACGTGTCAGACTGACTGTCTGGAAGAGGAAACTCCTCCTCTGAGTCTGATACAAAGCCCATTGAAGGCAATGGGAGGCTTTCAATCGTTTGACTGGTGACGACTGATTTTGGGTTGGGGCTTTGGCCACAGAAAGGGTGCAATGCAGAGAGAGGGTGTGCAGGCTTCCTCATGCTACCTAAGCTTTCCCAGCCAGGTTTTCGAAAGAATATAAGGGGAGGTCCCCTCCAGAGCTAACAGGGCTAAATGTTCCTCACCTCTATTGGCCTCTATAATCAGGTGCCCCAAAAGGTTACCAGTCTTGGCTCCTTGTCCTTAGGAACAGGACAGAGCCCTGCCCGTCCTTCCATCCAGGCCACTGACCGGCTGTGCCATTGTGGCAACTTGTGGACTCATATTAGCATGAGGTCCAAATCTCCCAGGCAAGGTTGGGACCCCATTTTGCTGGGAACGGTGCAAATGCCGATAAAGAGATACCAAGGAGCGCGGTTCAAACCCATGTGATTAGAAGGGAATGGCAGGGATTCTCCGATGAGGAAGACCGTACAGGTGTCTGTGAAGCCCTTGAGTGCATGCGCCCAAAAGCCTGCAACAACAGCAAAAAAAAGATATTTTTTTTTGCTGTTTTCTAGGTGATAAAAGGTATCATCTCTGAACCAAGAGTTTTAGAGTTTGTATTCCTTCTTATCCACATGATACACCGGTTTCAAATGCTATCTGAGACCCTCCACATAACCTGTTTGCAAGGTGCTCTTTCACAGATTCACAGAGTTAGGGGCTGGAAAGGACCTTGCGAGATCATTGGGTAGGAAAGACCGCTGTGATCAAATAACCCCAGCAAAGTGTGATTCCCTTACTCAGGCAAAACGTCCACTCTCTTTAAAAGGAGTTGGCCTTTTAAACCACTTCAAGGTTTGACCCTTTCTTCCACACTCAAAACCAGCGACCACACAAGGATACTGAAAATAACCTGTTTTATTTTCTTGCCGGCCACTCTCCCATGCTAACATCGATTCCTTCAAAGAGCCGGAGGACTTCTGGCTTCTTTGCCAGCTGCTGTGCGGACGTTCCCGTGCAGTCCCGAGAGTCCTGAAGTCCGGTTTGCAAGAGGATGGACACACAGGTGGCGTGCTGGCCGGAGCAGGCCATGTGCAGGGCTGTGGGAAGACCAGACGGTGAAAGGGAACAGAGCGGGGATCTGGATTCTGGGGGTGACACGATGGAGGAAGATCCAGCAAAGAAACTGGCCGAGGCTGGGAAATGACTGCGATATATTTTGTCCCTGACCCAGGGCCTGCATTCTGCAGTGGCGGGACTTGAACATCGCTGCTGGGCACATTAAGGAAAGTTGGGAAATGTTAATGACCTGCCATGAGCCCAATGAGCCATGCTCACTGCACCCATAGTCGGCAGTCAGGCCTCTGAAGACAGCCTAAAATGAAGACAGAGTTTGGCTCAGCGGGTCGCACACGGGAGATTGGCTTTGGCAGCTGTTGCTGGAGCAGGCGGAGAGGAGAGCAGAGTGAGACAGGTCTCCAGCCCTTGTTACTTGCAAGTGAGTTTTGGTTTGAATGAATAAAAGGGTCCAAAAGATGCTGGATGTGGTGATGAGTCTTCCAGGAGCTTGGAGTCAGCCCAGTATATCACAAGGCGGGGCATTAAATGAGACTATTTCTGTTCATTTTGGGCTGCTTTTTCACATAAAGTACCCTCTGCCCAAGCACAGTATCACCTGTATCCACAGCCCAGTATCACCACCATGAATAACCATCCAACACAAGGCTGTCCCAGGTAGAAGAAACTAACTGTATCATCTTGGGGAAGGTCAGGGGGGAGGTTTGTATTGTGAGCATAACTAAATTATGACATGGATGATTGTATAGACAGCATCTAATTCATAAGTGGTGCATGTCCTTGGCTAGTAGCTCTGTGGATGTCAAAGGGATGATGCCAATATAGGCCAGCTCGGGGGTCTGGAGCACAGTCCATGAGCACACAACATGTGCTGGGTCTTGGGTGCTGAGAAAGAAAGTTTCAGCGCACCAGTTGGATTGTCCCTGGTCCCAGTATAGCTGCTAAGCTGGGAATCTGGTCCAGTCTTGGATAGCTGGGTTCACCAGCCTTCCTCACCTCATCTCTTGGCTCAGTCCTGCAAGGTCCTCAGTGTCTTTTGCAAAGTCCTGAGAGCCTGCATCGCCCAGTGACATCAACAGGGAGCTGAGGGCACCAGGGGTCTTGCAAGAGATGTTCAGCCTTGCAGCTCCTGGGACAAAAGACATCCCAATAGCTGAGGGATGTTTGGGCTTCCCTGCCGTGGGGTTACACGGGGAAAAGGCTGGCATGTGACTGCTAGAAACCACGGCAAACAGGTAAGTCAAAGAGCCCCTGAATATCCCTAATTCATAGTGACATCCAAATTCCACCGACAAAGTTACAAGCCATTTTTACGTACACCTGCTGCAGGTTTCAGCCTGTGCCCTGTACGCTCACAAAAAGGGAGACAGGGCATCTCTTTTTCAAAAGTGGCAAGTACGGCTACACAAATAGGAAATGATCCCAAGTCCTTACCCGATTGGCTTTTCCCGTCTCTGGCTTGCAAGTCAGCGCCCAAGGACAGCAGCGTTCGGATGGTGCTTGCGTGTCCTTCCTGCATTCAAAAGCACAAACGACATTTACTGCGGGTCTGCCGAAGCAGCCCTTTAACCCTTCCCAGTTTTGCATCTCCTATAAATGTGCAGGAGTGTGCAATAGAAAAAAAGCCTGTGAATCAACGTTTACCAAACCTCTATGGGTGGCACATAGCCAACACTGCACGCCCCATGGAAAGATTCAGTGCAGGATGCCGATTTTTGATCCAGTTGAGGGTAATAGGAGAGGGAGATTCAGCTCCTGGGATCTGAGGGCCCCCCGGCGGATCAGGAAATTACTCTTGGCTGCCCGTGGCCTCAACAGCCTGTTGCTTTAGCTAGAAGCACAGCACCACCTTCCTCCTCCTCCGTGGGTGGCCAGCTCTATGGACAGCTCTAATCAACCCAGCAATTCCCATGCAAGATGATCCTCCCTGCCCTGTTCTGCCACGGCCAGGCCGATTCCCAGCAATTCCCATGCAAGATGATCTGCACTGCCACGGCCGGGCAGAAAGGCCACAGCACGTGGATGACCTGGTCCACAATCAGTTCTGCTTGAGGTCTGCCAGGGTCTCATCTGGATCCAGCGGCTGCCGGCAGAACTGCAGGCCTTTCCTTGGGCTTGCACGTTCCTGTTAACTGTTCACAGGCTCTTGACAAAGAAAGGAGCTCGGTCCAAAGACAGTCCTTGAAACGATGATGCTTCGTGACGAGCCGTCTCCAGGTGCAATGCTAAGGATACAGGCAATAGCTTGCAAGAGACAGGGAGAATCGAAGCCCCAAATGTGCCAAGTGCTGAGTGCCTCCTGGTCCCCGTGAAAGCAACAACAGATAGTTGTTAGGGGCTGGAAGGGACCTTACAAGATCATCGGGTCCAGCCCCGCTGCACTTGGGCAGGAAAGACCCCTGGGGTCAGATGACCCCAGCACGGTGGGCATCAAGATGCTCGTTGGCAATCAGCTGGAGTCGAAGGCGGAAGACCCCTCCTCTCGCCCTTATGGACAGGTCCCGGCTCAGTAACGCCGGAGACCGAAGTCCTCAGCTTTTGGGGTGAAGACCCGTAACTTCCCCAATTATTTGCTTCGGATTGGCCATCCCAGTCATGCAGGTAGTGATAGGCAGCAGGCAGGCCAGCTCAGGGGCCTAAGGGGACCGCGAGGACACATCTCAGCTGAATGCCCCATTTGCCAAGTGAGCAAAGGAAAAGAAAACCACTCGGT